ATTAAAGCAAAACTTCAAGATGAAAGAAAGGAAGACATCAACTGAATAAACATAGGAAAAGCTATATCCCCTCCTCAACTCAAAACATTTCAATTTATGGCTAAATATAAAATAAAGTTTAAAAAACTTTTTCAATAGAAGAATTCATTGTTATCAGAAACTATAGACAACTTGTAGTAATCTAGACTAAATCAAAAGTTCACTTATTCCCAACATTACAATTTGAGGCCACATGCTCAATCTTTTCTTTGAATAAGAAATGGAAGATTTCCGCTCAGTTTATCATTGAACTAATGGACTTTGGTACATACATTTCAAAATGATAAAAATGTGAAAGTTCAGACTAACATTTATTGGCTGGCCAAAGTTGATTATTCAGTAACACATTTCATGTTGACATTGCATGATGGTTAAATATAAAGTCATCTGTATTTTGTTTGTAACTTACTTTTATCTTTATCCTATATAATAAGGGTCAAAAATTCATGATCGTAGTGTCTTTCATTTAGAGCATTTTCAAACCCTATCTATAAGTCAAGCAAGAACAGTAATTATTTTTTTTCAAATGTGTTATCTTGTATAAATAAAAGATCTTTTTAATTCATCAGACCCAAATTTTAATTTAATTATCAAATATGTTTATCTGGAAGTCAAATACTTTTGTTTTTCATCAAGAAATCAACAAACAATTGCATGCTTTAGAATTTTAGAAAGGTTTGACATGAACTAACTGTAGTTAAATCCTAAATTTTGCACACATTCTGATTCGTAAATTGATTGTTGGTGTTAACACCACTTTCAGCATTATTGGCTATATCTTGGCTGCCAGCTTTTATTGGTGGAGGAAGCTAAATTTCCCCCAGAGAAATCCATTGACCTTTGGCAGGAAAAGTGGAAATCCAAGTCAATTAAGATTGGAGTCGAACTCAACTACAATTTGTGGGGTGCAAACTCACAACCTTATTGTAGATAAACTACTTAGACCACTTGGCCACAGAGTCTGGATCACACATTATGAAGCTTATATAGGACTATCAAAGTCAGCATTTCAAATTGTAAAGCATCAATTTTAAAGTCTTACATTTTCAACAATAAAATTTAGTTTTAACAGTATGTAACACATGGTTTGCAATGACAACAAATATCAATCTAATGGACTGCCATATTACTGCAAGTCAAGAAGTATGTTCCCTTAGCCCCCCCCTATTTCTAAATAAATTAGCAAACATTTCAATTTTTCAATAATTTAATGAAAATAGGTCAATTTCTATTTGGTTTTAGGACTGGAAATAATAATGCATTCATCAACAAGAAAGATCTTTTGAAATTATGTTTGTTATAACAAATAATTTGAATTGAATATTTTGTCAAATCCTGCTTTCTAAGTTTCCAGGACCAAAGTGTGGTTGAAACCAAGAAAATTTTGTCCAAAAAAAAAAAGGGGTGAAGATACCAAGGGGACATTCAAAGCTCATAAGTCAAAGAGACACACTGACAAAACTAGGGAAAGAAATGAAAGAAGACATTGGAAAAGAAGCACACAAAACACTACATAGAAAACTACAGACTGAGCAACTAGAACCACACCAAAAACGATAGAGAAATCTCAGGTGCTCGAGAAGGATAAAGAGATCCTGCTCCACAAGTGGCACTTGTCATGTTGCTTGAGGTAAGTACACATTTAGTGATGAGTCTTATTCAGTGATGTCACAATCAAGGAAAAGAGGACGTGATTGTGATTATGAATATATCCATGTTCGTCTCTAACACTGATATTCTATATCGTCAACCAACTTGTGATGGTGTATGTAAAACTTTTGAAGGAATTACTTAAAACTTTACCACATAAAGCCTTGCTTCAATAGCTTCCTTGTAAGCAGCAATCCTTTATAATACAAGTCAAAATCTTCAAGCATGACGAAAAAAACTGTTAAAAACTGATTATTTAAGTGAATTTTCTATGTCCAAAAACCATAACTCTGCACAAAATCATCAGACCGGAACATAATTCCAACTTGATCTGTAACTTGTCATGATAAACTATATACTAATTATCAAATCAATATCTTCAAGAATGACAAACAAACTTCCATTAAATTCTTCAAACAATTTACTAAAGACAAGGAAAAAAATCCAAAATGTCATTTTGTCCTTTAAATTTTTTTTTTAAAATGAGTTATTTCCCTTTGAACAGAAATCTACTAATTAAAAAGTATTTCATCAAAAATATAATTCTAGGGAAAGGGCTTTAACTGAACAAAGAGAAAAGCTAAAATCGTGAAAATTGAACTTGACCTGTAACTTGTCATGATAAAACAATAAACCAAATATCAAACAATATCTTCAAGCACGAAGAAAAAAAGTCTGGAAAACTGATTTGCTGGACTGACAGATGGACAGACAGACAGACAGACAGACAGACGGAGTGCAAACCTAAAGTCCACTTCGACTTCGGTAGGGGACTAATAAACTGTTAACACAGAGATATGTCTCACCTTTTTGTAATTTTGATAATGCAAATGTTGAAATCAAAATAGCAATACTTTAACATGTAAGTTATGCAAATATTCAAAGTCAATGAACCATGACTGAAGGTACATGGCTAAGCAATCTCCATGGAAATGAGATGTGCCAATGCTAATACAACTGCATACCAAATACCATTGACTAATCATAAGTCGTTCCCTTTAAACAAACCTAAACACAAACATTAACTTGTAAACTATGTAAAAGTTTCAAAGTCAATGAACCAATGGGGTGGGGCTATATAATCTCCATGGAAACGAGGCTTGCAAATGCCAATAAATTTGCATACCAAATATCATTGACTTAACATTAGCGGTTCATCTTGAACTGACCTAATCACAAACTTATACATGTAAACTAGGCAAAAGTTTTAAAGTCATTAGACCATGACTGAGGAGGCGGAGTCAAATAATCTCCATGGAAATGAGATATGCCAATGCTTATACAACTGCATACTAAATATCATTGACCTACCACCATAAACTAGACCTAATCACAAACTAATACATTGATGACACTGCCGCCACCGACACCGAAAACAGCATACCTATGTCTTGCTTTTTGACTTCGTCAAGGCGAGACAAAAATCATAATATGGAAAGCTCTGGAATGTTGTATCAACTGAGTTATTCATACTCCATATGCAGATGCTAGAATGTTGTTACATAGAAATAGAAAGTTCAAGATTGGAAAGCTGAAATCATTCTTTTTGTCATAAAGTTTTATTCTCAACAGACTCTCATTGTCAGTTTCTAGATGTAAGTCTCAGGCACTCGTCTCTGAAAGAAATTGCATATATACCTTAACATGTTATATTAAGTTATGTATATGAATTTTTTTCAGAGACAAGTGACTGTGATGTAAGTCACAATATTTGGCAGACTTAACTGTATATGTGGTATCCTTTATTTCAAGTTCAAAGGGATAGATGCGTTTAACATAGTCAACAAACTTTGGATTATTTAGTGAGAGGACATCATGTATACAGCGAAACATGAAGTTAAAGGATGATGCTAGCTTCTATTTATTCTTCCTAAGAAGCTGTATTGTGAAGTCTGCCTCATATGAATAAAGAAAACAAGTTTGCAAATTTCAACTAGATACAAATATCTTATTTTATGAAAGGATAAAAACTAATCAAGGATACCAGGTTTATAATTTTAAATGCAAGATGCGTGTTTCATTTTATTGCAAAAGAATGAAACTTTTCCAATCATTTGCAGTTTATCTGTCGATTTAAACTTTTGTCAGTTCACTGTTGAATAAATACAATAGCTATTGTTCTCTGTGTAGTTTATTCACTCGGACCTTTGTTGGCCATTCTTTTTAATTAAATAAAAGAACAGAGTTCCAATGTCCCCCGCATTGCACATATTTTATCTATCCAAGGTACAAGGGTAATAACTAAAAAAAAAGACACTTTTTTTTTTGTTCTTTAATTTTTTTTATTTATATCTGAAGAGAAATGAAGGCTTCAGAGCAAATGCAATGTGACTTCCATTATAATTTATATTTCCAATGGAGCATAACTCTTTAAAAATATTTGATCAGAACTTATTTTCGAAAGTGTCAAAGACCTTGCTGATATAAACCTATGATATAAGTTTCATAAAATTCTGGCAAGAATTGAACACATGAGAGCGATAACATTGCAATTTTCCATATAATCAATATTTTCAAGGGGCATCACTCTTTTAAAAATACTTGATCGGCACTGATTTTTGAACTCATCCAAGACATTTCTGGTATAAACCTATGATATAAGTTTCATAAAAATCTGCCAAGAATTGAACACATGAGAGCACTAACGATGCAATTTTCCATAAAATTAATGTTTCCAAGGAGCATAACTCTTTTAAGAATAATTGATCGGCACTGATTTTCGAAATGGTCCAAGACATTGCTAATATAAACCTATGATATAAGTTTCATAAAAATCTGGCAAGAATTGTACAAATGAGAGCGCTAATGATGCAATTTTCTATATAATTAATTTTTCCAAGGGTCATAACTCTTTTAAAAATAATTGATCAGCACTGATTTTCGAACTCGTCCAAGACATTGCTGATATAAACCTATAATATAAGTTTCATAAAAATCTGGCAAAATTGTACATGTGAGAGCGCTAACAAGACCGGACCGATGCCCAGTATTTCCATGTCCACCGCAACGTGTTGTGCAGGGGACAATAAAGTTGTACTAGTTCTTTCAATCTGTCTAAAGTTTAGAATGGGGAATGATAGTGTAAAAAGTGTACAGTCAAAATTGTTTAGAACTATTGCAAGAGCAAAAAGACTTAGATTGTATGTACTCTTAACAAAATGGATGTTGTTTAGGCTTCAGGGACATACTTCGTTTTTTTTTTATAAAAATCAAAAGAATTGTACATGTGAGAGCGCTAACAAGACTGGTCAGACGGAAGCCCGGTACAAAAAGCATGAAACATTTCATAAATGAAAAATACAAAATCTTACCTGAAGTGTATTTGAAAATAAAAATCTACGAGTATGATTTTGTCCTAATGGAGATCTTAAAATAATCTGTACACTCTCTGGATCATTCTCCACAGGCTCTTCAGGCAGGCTTATTTTCTATAACAACACAATAAAATTCAGTTTCAACATTCTGGTAATTTTTTAACATCTTGGGTAACACAACACAATTTTCTTAAAAAATTTCAAATTTAATTTGATCATGGCATCATGTATTTTGTAATGGAAATAAATATTGAGTCTAAAATTTAACACATACATGTAAATTTAGAGTAAGGTCTAAACTGGTGACACCATTTTATGACATGTTGACTACTGTTTCATGAGGTTCTAGATGGGGTCTTTCATTTCTGTATTTTTTATATTCTTTATATTTTTTGCCCATTTTTCTCTATTCTTTTATATATTTATGCCCATTTTTCTCTATTCTTTATATTTTTTTGCCAATTTTTCCTATTTATACTTTTTGCCCATTTTTCTCTATTCTTTATATTTTAGCACCCCATTATTCTCTATTCTTTATTTTTTTTTGCCTATTTTTCTCTCATCATTATTTTTTAGCCTATTATTCTCTATTCTTTATTTTTTTACCCATTTTTCGGTAGATTTAGCCCATTATTCTCTATTGTGTAAACCCCATCCTGACCCTCTTTCATTGTGACATGTTTGTCTTGAAAACAATTCTTTGAATCTCAAATTCAACTGAAGTTCCCCCTAAAAAATTATCAAATCAAAACCTCAGACCTGCCAACTTTTGAAAATCTCCATGAAGGATTTAGTGTGCGACCAGATTTCAAGGGTTACAATTTTTGTGGCGTTTCTGTGTGCACTGTTTTTTTACTCTTGAAATAGTCTCATATCTCTTTTTTTTTCTTTTGGTATACTGATGATGAGCTAATAAGCCTTGATTTCTTTTATTTGCTTGATTCTTGTATTTATTAATTGGCAAAATATAGAGAACAAGAGGCTGTCAGAGTGACAGCAAACCGGATTTTCCTGCAGATGTCGAACCCTGAACAGTTGAGCAAGTATATATTTAAGCTTAAAACAGCCCTGAATTTGGACTGTGATTGAATATTTGACACAGCATAGGTTTGTGACACAAAATGAATGTGGTCAAAGAACTGAAATATTTGAAGTTGGACATTTACCTATTATGGTCCAATATCCAAAATCTAAGTACATATTAGAATCAGCATATCAAAGAACCCCAAGAATTCAATTTTTGATGAAATCAGACAAAAGTTTAATTTAGGACCCTTTGGACCTCAATGTGGACCAATTTGATAAAGGAGCCCAAAATCCAAAATCTCTCAATACATGGTTAGATTCAGCATTTTAAAGAACCACATGAATTCAATTTTTGTTGAATCAAACAAAGTTTAATTTTGGACCCTGATTTGGACCAATTTGAAAACTGGGCCCAAAAATCTAATATTTAAATACAGGTTAAGATTCAGCATTTGAAAGAACCCTATATATATTTAATTTATGTTGAAATGAAACACAGGTTAATTTTATCCATTATTTTCTGTGCAAAGGGAAATAACTCAAACTGGATAAATAGTTCTCTAAAATAAGATATGATGCAATTTTTAAAATTATAATCAATAATATAATAACAACAACCAGTGATGACTAAGTTCTCTAAAATTAGATATGATTTAACACTCAAACATTGTTAGAATCAGTATATCAAAGAACCAAAGAATTCAATTTTTGATGAAATTAAACAAAAGTTTAATTTAGGGCCCTTTGGACCTCAATGTGGTATTATCTTATTAATAATGAAAAGAAATACAGGTTTAGATTAAGCATTTCAAAGAACGCTATATATATTCAATTTATGTTGAAATCAAACACAGTTTAATTTTGGACCCCGATTTGGACCAACTTGAAAACTGGGCACAAAATCAGAAATCTAAATATATGTTTATTAATAGACAATATAAGCTTAGTTTTTAAAAGAGCTCACTTCATCAAAAAAAAAAAAAAAATAGCATTCAGAAAATTAGTTTTTACAGGATAACAAACAAACTTGCCAAAAAATTCTTCAAACAATTTACCAAAGAAAAGTAGAAAAAAATCCAAAATTTTATTCATCATTAATACAATGTCTATTCAAAATCTATAAATCTTGTTATCAGTAACAAGAAATAATTGTAACAGGGCGCTGTTATGAAGAGGCTGCTCCCAAAAAAGCTCCAATAATTCGTCATTCCCATGGTCGCCTGACATTGGGCAAAGTCCAGTACAAATTGGTTTGTGATATACATAAGTAACGCCTATGGATTGACCCTGTATGTCATTCAAATCTTCTTGAAATGACGAACAGGAATATATATGGTTTAGGGGTGGAGATCTCGACCGTTTACAAGTTCTCAAAAGGGGGGTGTGTGATCCCCAGGGGACTCTCCCTTTATTTCATATGATTTGTTTTTTTGTCCCATACAAGAATATATATGGTTTAGGGGTGGGGATCTCGACCGTTTACAAGTTCTAAAACAGGAGGGGGGTTGGGGTGACCCCAGGGGACTGGCCTTTTATTTCATTTGATTTGTTTTATTGTCCCATACAAGAATATATATGGTTTAGAGGTGGGGATCTCGACCGTTTACAAGTTTTCAAAAAGAAGGGGGGATTGGGGTTACCCCCATGGACTTCCCCTATATTTCATTTGATTTGTTTAATTGTCCCATACAAGAATATATATGGTTTAGGGGTGGGGATCTCTACCGTTTACAAGTTCTCAAACAGGAGGGGGTGGGGGTGACCCCAGGGGACTCGCCTTTTATTTCATTTGATTTGTTTTATTGTCCCATACAAGAATATATATGGTTTCAGAGTGGGGGTCTTGACCGTTTACAAGTTTTCAAAAAGAAGGGGGGTGGGGGTGAACCCGGGGACTCCTCCAATATTTCTGTATTTTCATTTGATTTGTTTTATTGTCCCATACAAGAATATATATGGTTTAGGGGTAGGGATCTCGACCGTTTACAAGATAAAAGCACATTCTCAAATTGAAGGGGGTTGGGGTAAGAATATATATGTTTTAGGGAGACTTAATTATCAGCAAAATGTCTAATAATGAACAGTCAATTTCAAACTTTATTTATACAGTCCTACTAGTAAATTTCAAACTGTATATATACAGTCCTACAGATCTTATCAGAAAACAGAAAATTTTAAAATAAATCTGTCACTCCAATGATTATCATATGCTAAGATATTTCCCAGATCTAATTAATAATGAAAATCATACTGAAAATGTCTAATATTATAGCTTATAATCATCACCACTTAGGAAATAGAAAATTTTCAAATAAATCTGTCACTCCAATTTTTATTGTGAGATAAGACATTTACCATACACTTAGTCATAATATGATAACAAGAGAAAAATATTTAAAAATACCACTTTTGGATATTAAAAATGGTGTTAACTCAAAAAGGAGAAATACTAAAATCATGAAAATTGAACTTGACCTTCATTTAGTCACAAGAAACAACATATCTAAATTTGAAAAAAAATCATCACAGCGTTTTCATGTTATTGAAGAGACACTATTTGGCAGTATTAATGAGAAAATGGATAAAATTTGAGTTATCTTTCTTTTTGTTCAGAGGTGCTCTTACAGGCGGAGGCTTATACTCAGTAGAAGTGAATACAAAATGGCATTGATTTTAAATCAGAACTGGACAGAAACACGTCTGATTTAAAAAATTCTAACGGATTTCAGGATAAATGCTGTTTTCTAATGTTTCGTCTTTCAGTTAATTATGATTTTGTCATGAATCGGGATGATACCGCTAAAATCGGGATAGTTGGCAGGTCTGAAACCTTCATCAGCCTAATCTAATTTCTACCTTTCTTTGTTTCCTTCTAGCTTCTCTTTCTTGTTCTTGTCTGACTTGCTCCAAGTATTCTTCATTTATATTTTCTTCAAGTCTGCGAAACCTAACTTCATTTGTATGTTCATCAGAATCTTGTACATCTCCCTGTTATATATAACACTATGTATAACATGAATATTTGAGCAAAATTTCTCTTTTGTTCTGCCCTTTTTTAAATATGGAGTGTAAAACAGAATAATTTTTAAAAGACCATTGAAATTGGTTTTCCCTGCATAATCATAATGTGGTTTTCAACTATAACATAATGACTTTTTAAATAGTAGTGGATGTATTTCTTTATGCATGGGTATAGTTACTGTAAATTCAGAAATTATTGCAATGTTTTTATTATTGCAAAAAATGCGACAGGGTTATAGTTGCAATAATTTAAACTCGCATTTCGAAATTTTTTATATGAATTAAACAGGATTTTTCTCAATATCGCAAAAATTAAAATCGCAATTTAGTCTAAAATGACAAAATCGCAATAATAAATGCACGCAATAATTTCTGAATTTATAGAACTGTTTTATATTTCTACTTCTGTGACCCAAAGAATGACTTTGATACAGAAATATGATAACCTGAACAACTCCCAATAGGGAGGAAAGACCCATGCCGAGGGAGGTGTGGGCTAAATAAGCTGTTTTTTATGGTTGGAATGGAAACATTAAATATCAGGCCCCTTTTGTTCTAAATGCTGAGAACACAGAAAACAATTCATGATTCCTTAGGTGACCTGTTTCACAGCAATATATCTTTCCACAAACAACATGCCCTCTTTTCCAGTGACAGTCAAAATTTCTCATATTCCATTCTATACATCATGTTTCTTTATTCTACATTAGCCAGAGGTATAGGGGGAGGGTTGAGATCTCACAAAACATGTTTAACCCCGCCGCATTTTTGCGCCTGTCCCAAGTCAGGAGCCTCTGGCCTTTGTTAGTCTAGTATGTTTTTTAATTTTAGTTCATTTATATGTTTTGGAGTTTAGTGTGACGTCCATTCTCACTGAACTAGCACACAATTTTATTTAGGGGCCAGCTGAAGACCACCTCCGGGTGCGGGATTTTCTCGCTGCTTTGAAGACCCACTGGTGGCCTTCGGCTGTTGTCTGCTCTTTGGTTGGGTTGTTGTCTCGTTGACATATTCCCCATTTCCATTCTCAATTTTATCATGCATAACCCACTTCTTACATATGTTGTTTACTGTGTTCTCATCCTTCATTTGCATGAATTATTTTCCCTGGACTTTCAACAAACAATCAATCAGTTAACCTTCTAATATGGTTGTCAGCAATTTATGTTAAGAGGCATATCTTACTTAAAGGAACATTTTGACACTATCATGAGGTTTAAAAGTTACTATAATCAAATTATTAGTAAAATTCTGCAAAATAGATCAAAACATGTTGTTAATTTTGGAATGGAGCGAGGTCAGTAGCCCATACTTACTCCCAAAGCTTCACCTTTTCCTTTCCAAGCTGGTCCCAAAAATCTATAATGTTCTTCTTCCTTTTGTCTTTTCTTTGCCTCCTCTCTGGGTACCAGTATCTTTTCTTTATATGCCTCAGTCTGAAAGTGAAGGTTATGTCCTTATTATCTACAAATATTCCCGAAATTCTGTTGTGTGGTTTCAGAGGAGTTGTGCTGACAAACTGTTGCAGTAGTATATTTAAGCTGAAATTTGAAGTTCAAAGGGCATAACTCCTAGAAAAGTCAACTGATAACAATTTTTTGTGGATATGCACATCTACACATATTTTTCTTATTATCCACAAAGTTTCAGAGGAGTTGCGATGACAAAATGTTGCGGTAGTATATTAAGGCTAAAATTCTAAGTTCAAAGGGGCATAACTCCTAGAAAAAAAAAAAATCATAATTTCCTGTTGTTATGCAGATAAACATAGTATGTCCTTATTATCTACAAAGTTTCAGGAAATTCTGTTGTGTGGTTTCAGAGGAGTTGAGATGACAAGAACAGAATGACAGATAGACTGACGGATCAAAAACATTATACCCGACGGAACTTTGTTCCGTGGGGTATAATAAGACTGATCTGAACTCAACAGAAATGTAAATTAGGAGATAACTGTATTGTATTTTAAGCTTGGATGTTGCAAATTGAGTTTATCTAGCAACACAAAGCGGAGCTAGGTAAACGGATATTTGCGACAGTAAAATCAAGTTTTACGAAGTCCAAGCTTAAAATACAATACAGTTATCTCCATTCAAATGTCACATATTAGAATAAATTCCATTTTAGTAAATATTTTTGCTTAAAAATGCCATAAATGAAAAAGTCCGCCAAACTATTTCATCGTCTTTTGCATCTTGGTCAATATCCCTAATGCGCCTCAGAGTGAGGAACTCAACTATAAATAGAAATAAAAAAAAAATGTATGCAATGAAATTGGACATGATGCTATTTTTAGTAATTGACTGAGATTAACCATTTGTGCTTTTTGAAGAGTAGAAGACTGTATAATAAAGATGTAAAAACTTTGGAGTTATTAAATGTTATTAAATGTCTGTACAGAACTGAATTTCCAGAGAATTTAACTGTGTGAAAATAAGGTCTTTTCACCTGCTGAAGCGGCATCACAAGAGTCCTTTTGGGGTTGCCCAATTTGTGAAAAATTTAATCTCACTTTGTACCCCAAAACCTTAACCACATGTGTGAAAATGTCTCAGCTTCGAAATGAGCCATCATATTTACACAAGTTAACAATATGGACAGAGGAATGGAAGAAATGGGAAATGAATTACGCATCTTGACCCATCTAATCAATGTGACGTCATAGGTATACTCCCAATGTCAAACATAAACACTAGACATATTCATACTTTTTGTACACTTCTGAATGGTTTTAATATAGACAAAAAGAAGATCTTGAGGCACAAAATGTGACTTTTTTGTTTATTTTTTGAGAAATTACATACCAAATAAATACAGATTTCAAAATGGTGGCTTTCCTCAGTTATGGACTGGTAGAATGTGGATTCTAACCCTTCAAAATATTTGTCAACATCAAATGGAAATTATCGTTCCAAACGAAATGCATTAACGATTCAGATTTTGTCATGCATGTTCATTGAAGGTTGTATGTTGACCTCTAGATGCCTATTTTGTGTTAACTTTTGATGCTGTGTTTAAAAATAAAATAAATGGGGAATGTGTCCATGGGACACAAATGATGCCCCCGCTTGCATATCATATCAAGTTATAAAGGGACATAACTGAAGAAAGGTAAAAGTGACACTAACCAAATTTGTACTTAATCTGAGTTTTGTGGTAATAAGTATTGTGTATAAGTTTCATAACATTTGGTTGAGGCAAACTTAAGTTAGAGAACAGAAACGAAAATTCAGCAATTTTTCCATTTGTAAAGGGGCATAACTCTACAACAGTAAAAGTGACGCCACCAAAATTCAAACTTGATCTGTGTTTTGTGGTAATAAGCATTGTGTATAACTTTCATAACATTTGGTTCAGGTAAACTTCAGTTGGAGAATGGAAACGAAAAATTCAGCAATTTTTCCATTTGCAAACGGACATAACACTGGAACTAATAAAGTGACACCACCAAAATTCAAAATTGATCTGTATTATGTGGTAATAAGCATTGTGTATAAGTTTCATAACATTTGGTTGCGGCAAACTGAGAGAACGGAAACTAAAAATTCAACAATTTTTCCATTTATAAAGGGGCATAACTCTAGAGCAGTTTAAGTGACGCCACCAAAATTCAAACTTGATCTGTGTTTTGTGGTAATAAGCATTGTGTATAAGATTCATAACATTTGGTAGAGGCAAACTAAAGTTAGAGAACGGAAACCAAATTTGGGACGTACGGACGGATAAGGGTAAAACTTAATGCCCCCTCCGCTACGGCGAGGACATAAAAATGTATTTTTATATGAAATATATAGCAAAATTTGTACCGTGAGTGAAACCAATTTTGGGACGTATGGACGTACAGACGGAAAAGGGTAAAACAACAGAAGGTCAAAATATCCTATGTAAGTATTATTACCATATATGACAACTGGCCATAGAACATGTGATGACTTTGCAGACAAATATAATCATCATTCCATTTCATCTCTCCTACATTTAATAATATTTCATCTCCCAGTATTTAATTCTCAGACGTGAGGATCAACCATTCAATTGAAAACACAATGTCTTAAAATGAAAACTTATTCTTAGTTCTTTTGAATATTTCCGTCTATTTATCACAAACCTTAATTTGATAGTCTTTTTGTATTTTTTCTCTGCAGAACTCTTGTTCTTTTTTATGTTCATTATCATTCTGTTCTGAAATAAAAAAATAAATAAATAAATGTGGATAGTGTCCACATGTAGACACAGATGATGCCCCTGCTTGCATATCATAATAGTTATAAATGGACATAACTAAAGAACGGTAAAAGTGACGCTACCCAAATTTGAACTTGATCTGAGTTTTGTGGTAATAAGCATTGTGTGTAAGTCTCATAACATTTGGTTGAGGCTAAATTAAGTAGAGAACAGAAACTAAAAATTCAGCAATTTTTCTATTTGTAAACACGCATAACTCTAGAACGGTTGTGTATAAGTTTTATAACATTTGGTAAAAACAAACTAAAGTTAGAGAACGGAAACAAAAAATTCAGCAATTTTTATGTTTATAAAGGGACATAACTCAAGAATGGTAAAAGTGTCGCCACCAAATTTTGTACTTAATCTGTATTATGTAGTAATAAGCATTGTGTATAAGTTTCATAACATTTGGTTGAGGCAAACTAAAAGTTAGAAAACGGAAACAAAAAATTTGTACTTGATCTTAGTTTTGTGGTAATGAATATTGTGTATAGGTTTCATAATGTTTGGTTGTTGCAAACTTAAGTTACAGAATGGAAACTAAAAATTTTGCAATCTTTCGATTTATAAAGGGGCATAATTCAATAATGGTTAAAGTGACACTATCCAAATTCAACTTGATCTGTGTTTTATCAGTGGAAGTCAAAATTAAACATTGCATTGTATAAAGCATTGATTGTAGTTGATTCAACTATAATCATGGACAAAAGGAAGATAACTCAAATTTTAAAAATTACTTGATATTTAGAAGAAAATAAAAATTTTGCAATTTTCCATTTATAAAGAGGAGTAACTCTAGAACGGTTAAAGTGACGCCACCAAAATTCAAACTTGATCTGTGTTTTGTGGTAATTAGCATTGTGTATAATTGTCATAACATTTGGTTGAGGCAAACTTAAGTTAGAGAACGGAAACTAAATATTTTGCAATTTTTCCATTTATAAAGGAGCATAACTCTAGAACTCTTAAAGTGACGCCACCTAAATTCAAACTTGAACTGTGTTTTGTGGTAATAAGCATTGTATATAAGTTTCATAACATTTGGTTGAGGCAAACTTAAGTTAGAGAACGGAAACTAAAAATTCAACAATTTTTCCATTTATAAAGGGCATAACTCTAGAACGGTTAAAGTGACGCCACCAAAATTCAAATTTGATCTGTGTTTTGTGGTAATTAGCATTGTGTATAAATTTCATAGCATTCAGTTGAGGCAAACTCAAGTTAGAGACCGGAAACCAATTTTGGGACGTACGGACGGACGTACGTACGTACAGACAGACAAGGGTAAAACTTAATGTCCCCACCGTTACGGCGGGGGCATAAAAATGGAGAATGTGTCCATGGGACACAGATAATGCCCCCACTTGCATGTAATGCTATAAAGGGGCAAAACTCGAGAACGGTAAAAGTGATGCCACACAAATTTGTACTTGATCTGTGTTTTGTGGTAATAAGCATTGTGTATAAGTTTCATAAGATTTGGTTGAGGCAAACTAAAGTTAAAGAACAGAAATCAATTTCTGGACGTACGTACTGAAGGACAAGGGTAGCACTTTATGCCCCTGCCGTCAAAAATTACCTGTTCATATTATCCAAATTTTTAATTTAAATATATATAAGAAGATATGCAATCAACAGTTTTTTTTCTATGAATTCATATTTTGAGGGACCATGCATAAGTGACCCTTAGTGGTGGAATGGTTAATAAAGATACTTGTATAAAACTGGATATCACTGGAATCAGAATTTTCTCTAGTTTATAATGAAATAAAAATAAAGTGTACTTTTAATATAATAAAAAAGTTCTTTTCAGAGAACATGGGGGGAAAATTGCCTAATCTGAAGATAAAAAACCTGAAATCAGGTCATGTGCATACCCATGTAGACATGATACAGGCACATTTCACATAATCAAAACTGTATGAAATTCATAGGTTTTTACCTGGCCTTTCAAAAAAATCTCGCTTCAGGGTACGGTTTCCTGCTTCGAAAAGAGCTATAGTGGCTGCAAATAAGTTTTCAATTTTCACTGCCAAAAAAACAGGATGTTTACTGTGTTGTCTCCCCTCAAAACATGTATATTTAATCTAATTTTTAAAATTATTTTCATTATTCAACCTGTTTTAATTGAAAGATAATTAACTAATTTTTACAATCAAATACAAAAAAGATACTTTTTCACCAATAAAGTAAAAAAAAAGGGATTTCCCTCCATGGTTATTTTTAGTCGGGGAATAACCCTAGTTTTTTATTCGAAACTGTTTATAGCACCCATACCACGATGAACTTGATCTGTAACTTCTTATGATACCACTAAATATCAAATATCTAATAACTGATTCAGGCATTACAAAACAATTGCAGAAAACTGACATTTTTGAAGTAATTTTTTAGGTACCAAGCTCAGGGCCTGTGGTTTTAAAACTGAACTCAGAACTCAGAGTACAATATTTGTGCCTGAAACTCTAAATCCAGTATTTTGATTGGTTGAATACTGAGTCTGAGAACAATAATTGTACTCAATATTTTTTTCCCAACATTGTACACTAGAATATAATTCATGACTAAAATTTCTTTTTTGTTAATCTTGGATTGCGGTTTATGCCCAAAACACAATAAAATGCTCCGCTGGGCGCAGCTTGATACGACCGCAGAGGTCAAACCCTGAACAGTTGGGGCAAGTATGGACACAACATTCAAGCTTGATACAGCACTGAATTTGGATTGTGATTAAATATTTGACACAGCATAGGTTTCTGACACAGAATGAATGTGGTCTAAGAACTTAAAATTTTTTAATTTACCTATTCAAACCATATCATTATTATTTGCTTTTATATATAAATCAGAAATAACCAATTTAAAATGGAAAATTTTAAAGAAAAAAAAAATCCCCCCCCCCTAAATTTTTTGAACCCCCTTATGATTCATCACCCCCAAACTCAATCCCAGACTTCCCTTTGTGTTATGGTACCTTGCAGTACAATTTCAGAGAGATCCATACACTTGAACACAAGTTATTGTCTGGAAACTAGAAAAATGCTTGTTTTTTGGCCCCTTTTTGGCCCCAAATTCCTAAATGTTTAGGGCAATTACCCCCAAACTCAAACCCAACTATCCCTTTGTGACATGGAACCTTGTAGTACAATTTCATAAAGATCCATACACTTACACATAAGTTATTGTCCTGAAACTAGAAAAATGCTTGTTTTTTGCCCCTTTTTGGCCCCTAATTCCTAAAATTTTGACGCAATTACCCCCAAAACCAATCACAGCCTTCCCTTTGTGGTATGGTACCTTGCAGTACAATTTCAGAGAGATCCATACACTCGAACACAAGTTATTGTCTGGAAACTAGAAAAAAATGCTTATTTTTGGCTTATTTTTGGCCCCTTATTCCTAAATGTGATATGGAACCTTGTGGTACAATGTAAAAGAGATCCATACACTAACACACAAGTTATGTCTGGAAGTTACAAAAATGCTTATTTATGGCCCCTTTTTGGCCCCTAGTTCCTTAACCGTTGGTACCATAACCCCCAAAATCAATCCCAACCTTCCTTTTGTGGTATTGAACTTTATGGTAAAATTTCATAGAGATCCATTCACTTAAACTAAAGTTAGAGTGCGAAAACCAATGTGGCTTCGGACGACGACGACGATGCCAACGTCATACCAATATACGACCGCAAAATTTGTTTGCGGTCGTATAAAAAATGGGTAAATATCATCATTCAAGGGCAACATCTCCAATAAGAAATTTACTGACAATATCTTCTTTGTTGACTAACTTTTGTTGATTACAGATCATTTTTCTAATTTAAGGTCAGATGAACTATGCCAGATAGACATGTACACCTTACAATCATACCATACACCAAATATTGTTATCTTTTTACTCATAATGAGTTAGAAAATCACACGACATAAAAAACATAATTTTTTTCTAAGCAGTCTCTGTACCATGAAAATGAGGTCAAGACCAATGGTCATATGAAAGACAAAACTTCTTAACAAAAGACATATGCATACAAGGTATGAAGTATCCAGGTCTACTACTACCTTCTGAAATTTGGAGCTTTAATCAAATAGTTTATACTATCCCTGCCAGATTGTAATCCCAAAGTTGCAGTCAGGACAAAAATTGGTAAAAATCATCATTCAAGGGCAATAACTCCCATAAGAAGTAGACAAATTTGTACTCCTTGCCCTGCTGATCATTTTTTCTGTCTTTTATAGTTTTCATAATATAACTTGGTCTGTTACTTCTTCTGATATGACTTATACCAACTATCTAACAACTGATAAGGGCAAAACAGAAAAAAATGTGACTAGAAACTGATTATTCCATTTTGGTTTCACTGGAAGGGCACTAAAACATATTCAATTCACCTGAAATCAATTATTTAAGACTAGTATATTATTTCACTAGCAGTCGAAGATTGTTACAGGATGACTATTTTAACTTTTAGTAGAACGTTATTTCAATCTAAATTATTGATCAGAGATATGTCTTGCATGCATGTTAATTTGATAGTATAATGCAAATGCTAAAATTAAAAAGTCAACGCTTTTACATGTGAACTATGCAAAACTTTCAAAGTCAATGAACCATGACTGAGGGTGCAGGGCTAAATAATATTTATGGAAAAGAAAGATACCAATGCTAATTCAACTGCATAACAAATACCAGGGACTAAGTATTATTGCTTCCCTCTTTAACTGACATAAACCCCAACTCTAACATGAAAACAATGCAAAATTTTCAAAGAAAATAGAACATGACTGATATTAAGGGGATATGATACAGTTTTGATCCCACAGTGATTTTTTTACAAAAAATTAGATACAAGCTATTTTTCACCTAGACAATTAAAATATGTAATAAAAATCATACTTTCATGTGCTACTTTAAGAGATAAATGAGGTCAAAATTTTAGACATTTACTCAAAAA